GGGGATGTACGCCTACTCCGAGGGTTAAGAGATGATGCAGATTGTGGACTTGCTCAATTGAATTGTCGGGTATCCGGGGATGGAGGTAAGGTTCATTCATTACCAGCCATTATTAGGTACCATAAATGGTTGCCTGACAGGTAAATAAATGCGGTCGGTACGCACTGCCACGTCACGCGCGGAAAGGTGTTCCTGTGATTGTTTGACCTTGGCGCCGACTGCAGCTGACCCCCGCTCGATACTTTCACACCATCATATCAAGAGTTCTCAGCTACAAGTATTGATCTCGAAATCTTAACCAATCAATGCTGGAAATTGTCCGGACCTTCAAAATTCACTTCCAGGCTCCCGAGCCCGAGACACGACAGAATTTGCCGGATCTGCCATATGAAGTATGGCTCATTATTTTCACAATGGCCCTATACCCGGATAGTATTGTTCTAATGGAGTTCACACCCGTTCAAATCACGACGAGCTTCGCCATTCTAGCCAATTCATCGATGTGGTCCCAGAGAACAGCTCAAAGGATGGCCCGTTGCACCAAAAGTCGTCTAATATTAGTGTGTAGAACATGGAAGCAGGCAATAGACATGATCAAAATGAACGATAAATGGGTGGTCGATCATACTTGTAGCAATCAACCCGGCTCGACATCAGTTGATACGCATCAATCTTCAAGGCTGAACCTGAACTGTCAAGTCATTCACCCTATCTCTCAGTTCAGTATCCAATGGAAGTATCCTGTCTCCGCCGTATCCATACGGATCACTCATATTACGGATACCGACTGGGTACGGGCCAAGTCGGTCAAGGATCTAGTATCATTCCCTGAGCAAGTAAGGACACTGTGCATCGACCTTGGGAAGGTGCGCGTATACCAAGAGGTGATCACGGATATAGAAACCATGTTTATCCGGTTAACCACACTGCATATGATCCTCTCAAACAACTCCCTCCTTCAGAGATCCCTAACAATCCCGACTCTCATGACCTTGTCCCTGTTGATTCCTCGTCAAACCACCCTGAACAGCCCACTAGGTGTTCAATGGTCATTCCCAGCATTGCGTAACCTATCTTTGTATAAAAGTCCATTTGGGGATGCACGAGATGCGCTAGAACATTCCACTCACCCCTTCTTTGAGTCTTTGTTGAGGACTCACCGAACGAAAATCCAATCCTTGTTCATTTTCCCCATGACTCGGCAGACATTCCACCAAGGCTTCTCCCTATGCTGGGTACATATGCCGAACTTACAAGTTCTGGCGGCGAACTTTGGTCGAATCGATCTATTTCACACTGGGGAGCCAGATAACGAGGTCTGGTCACCCGTTATCAAATCCAAGTCCCTTCTCCATATCATACAATACCCTGGTGCATGGGTACATGGGACCAGTCTGGATGAGAAAAGCATAGCGAAAGGACTACAGGGTTCTATACTTGCATATGACCAGCTGGAAACTATTACGCTAATAGGTCCCTATGGTGGGCTGAGAAAGTCGGTGATTAAAGGCACGGGGCCTAAAGTGGTGAAGAGGTTGCTCAAGTTATGTGATGAACGACGTATACAGATCTGGGAGAAAGAAGATGGTTTTCATGACAGGACATTACTGAGGGAATTTCGCAAAGAAACCATGTAGTATAATCTCAATGTGTAGTGGAAAGATCGTTCCGAACGATATATTCTCAATCTATTGCCTTTCTAACCCTGCTCATCATCATTTTGAACCCTAATTGTGACTTTTATGAGGTTTATCTAGTCGAACCAAAGGTATATTATTTATAATATAGGTATGAGACATGAATAGAATTACAGAGCCGCTTCTCTTGATGGATAAATGTGATGTACAACTAAGGGGAGGAGGGAGCCGAGGGGCATTGTCACATGACTCGGCATAATCTTGGCCTTGACACTTACCGCCGACCCCAGCTCCTCGTTTTTGAGACTCCTGTCTCATGCTCAGACTGCTCAATCAGTAAAATCTTTATGAGACACGGAGGCAAGCGATGTTCAAGATCCTTAGGGCTTTTCAGAGTCGTTATCTAAAGGCTCGACATGAGAAGCGACGAAGTTTACCGACCCTACCTTACGAAATTTGGCTTATGATACTAAAAATGGCCTTATCTTCCAATATCATCGTCGAAATGGATTTCGAGCCCCTCCAAATTGAGGCCGGTTTCGCATTCATCTCAAACCAAGCCCTGAGTTCTCAACAGGGTGCTCAAAAGTTGGCGCTTGACATAAGAAAAATCCTACGATTAGTATGTAGGTCATGGAATCAAGCCGTTGACTCGATCAAACTGAACGAACGATGGGTGGTGGATCACAAATATGACGACGGGGAGGACTCCTTGCCAATAGACACTCGCCAATGTGCGCGTTTGAATGTACAGTGTCTAGTGTATCCAAACTCCTCACTGATTCGCATACATTGGACCCACCCGGTGCCTACGGTTTCTCTGCGAATTTTCGCCAAAGCTTTCGTTACCTCGGCATACGCGATGTCCCTCAGAGACATAGTATCCTTTCCAGAGGATATAAAGGCTCTGGAGCTTCATTTGGGAGCCCTTAAGGCGGAGAAAGTGATACTCACAGATCTACAAACAATGTCTCCTCGGCTAACCACGCTGTGTCTCACCCTTTCCAGAGTCGAGCTTCTCCAAATGCCTCTGGAGATCCCCACTCTCGTGACCTTATTTCTTTCTATTCCATACTATGATAGTAGAGACTGTTCACCAACCCCCCGGTGGACATTTCCGGCACTCCGAAACCTATCTCTATTCAGAGACGTAGATGAAGGACTCACACTCATGATGCAGGACACAAACCCCTCGTTTGCGGCCCTCTTAAAGGATCATTTCTCACAAATTGAGTCCCTACTCATCCATCCTATGACTCGACAGATTTTTTATGAGGATTCGTCATTATGTTGGATTCATATGCCAAAGCTGCGAGTTCTCGCAGTAAACACTGCCTTGATTGACTTCCAATACTTTGGGGAGCCCCTTCCCAAAAGTAATTTACACATCCTCAAGTCCGAATCTGTCCGAGAGATTATTCAATTTCACGTGGATGTGATCGAAAACGAGAAAATAGTAACTGGACTCTCGAAGTATATACTCGCCTGCAACCAGTTGGAGGGCATTACACTAGTAGATGCTTCGGATGAACTAATAAGAGAACTCAAACGAGGTACTCGCACTAAAGAGGTGAAGAAGTTGATGCACCTATGCAACAATTGGCGCATAAACTTGTGGGAGCAGCACAAAGATAGTCTCAGTGAGAGAATTTTGATCCGTGATCTTCATAGATAAACGATATAGGATACACGATACGCGTAGAAACCGGATTATATTGTATTTTTCTTACTGACAGCATCTCTTCTTATCCGTTAAGATTCGAAAAATGGAATTGTGGACTTCGGACTTGTCTGATTGGACTATTGGGCAGTTGTCTATTTCTAAAGATGACTGTATCGCTTTCTCGTTTTGAATCTTGGACTGTCTACTAGTATCATGATTTACAGAGTGTTAACTGCACCTACATATGGAACTATATGTGTGTATAGTCTATCTTCGCTTGCTTATGATCTTTAAAGAAACAAGTTTTCTCAAAGTACAGAGACGATCTTGTTCCCACAAGTCAATGTTACGTCTATCACATAGTTTGATGAGTTGAACAATTTCTTTCTCGGGTCGCATAGTGACCCAGTTTCTAGTATCGAAGCCAGGAGCATTTACCATTGTCACACTTTCCAAATTGGTACATGCGTGTATGTGACTCTGTAGCTCACTCGCCATAGAAGTCGAGCCGGCCGCCCATAAGTGGAATTGAATCAGATGACGAACCGATTTCGACTCGATATCTTGCGTTTGTTTGTTGAAGAAATGTTTTCTGTGAGAAGGTACGTCCCTATCGCTAAAGTTTGTCGCAAGGGTTTGCAACTTTGGCATCTTCTTCCAGCATAAAGACGAGTGTTGACTGGAGACTTGCAGAGTCATGGGGTGTATAAGCAGTGAACGGATACTCGAGAAATGACCCGTTAACAGATTCAAGAAGAAAGAGTGGGTAGAAGGCAAAGCAATAGAGGGAGGCCCGGGACGACGATCATAGCGTTCGATTATCGCCAGATTATGTAGTGCTGGTAGTTTCCACCTAAAGTTTGACGGATCTCCCCACAACCAGTCTTGAGGGTCATACACCGGAATAGAGAGGAAGAGGTTGGCAAGAGTGGGAATATAAAGAGATATTTGAAGCGAGCCTGGGAACTTGAGAAACAAGCTGAGTGTCGTTACTGGAATGGACCTTGATTCGATATCTTGGAGTAGTTCCATTCGCGACTTACACCATTCCAGATACAGGTCTAGGACCCTCAATTCGTTCGGGAATGACACTATATCGGAGAGGCATTCCAGGTGGCTCATTTGGCTTCTCCTCATGACTCGTAATGTGAGGGCAGATACGGGGTAAGTATATCTTACCCCAATCCGCGATCGTTGTCCATGAGTGGAATAGGTCTCAATAAGAAGCCGTGTACACCTATGCGTATCTATTGTGACCAACTTGAGGTCACTTTCGGGTCTCCATGGTTCGTTCCATTCCATAATGCGTTGATAGTCAACTTGGATTGCGTCAAGAATTTCTTTCCACCATCTACATACTTGCCTCAATCTTCCTTTTCGTCT